TAGCTAGGCGTGGTGGTAGGTGTCTGTAATCCCAGCTACTCGGGAGGCTGAGGCAGGAGAATAGCTTGAACCTGGGATGCAGAGGTTGCAGTGAGCCGAGATTGCACCATTATACTCCAGCCTTGGGGGACAAGAGTGAGACTTCATCTAAAAAAAAAAAAAAATGAAGTGTAGCATATGTGCCTGCATAGTGTTCCCACCAGCTGGGTAAGGGGGCTGAGATTCTCGTCTGCCAGCTCCTGGCCATCACTGATTGAGAGCTGCTTGGAGAAGGGGCTTGCTTCATGAATTTCCCAGCACTCTGGTCTGCTGTGCTTGCGGGTGGAGCAGGCTCCAAGGGCCAGAGAAAGTGCTCAGGTGAAGGGGTACACATACTGGCAGTTGGAAGACAGCCACCCTGCACATAAATGATCAAGACTGAGGGAATCTGGACGGGATGTCAGTGGCATGTGAGGTGAGCGATACATTCTCCTTCTTTTTATTTATTTTCCTCTTGGATTGTCAGATTTTCAAGTCCATCATTTTCTATCATACTGAACCAATGACTCTCTTCTCAGCCCGTGGCCCCTCTTTGCATATCCAAACACATCAAGATGCTCAACAGAACAAAAGGGTCCTCTTTGGAGGTAGTCGTGGGTTTAAACAGTCATTATTTTCTCATTATTCCAAAGGCAGCTATCTCTTCAGTTATTCTAGCAAATTCCATTCTAGTTAGCTAGTTAAATCTATTGCACTTTTTCTGCACATTAAATCAGATGACATGCAAGCTGTAAGTATCTCCTGTAGATATTCTCACCACAGCTCCACAAGGGAGCCATTATATCCATGCAGTGAAGACACTGAGGTCTGGAATGACATGCACTATATTCTTGGTAACTTCTTCCCAAATCAAAGTGTGGGATGATTTCTGCAGATTTTTGTGCCCCTTCCAGCTGCTTGGGACAGTATGGAGAATGCTTATGGATACTGAGTTATCTGGGACATTGGTTAGATTATGGGAAAATGGAACCACCTATTAATTGAGTTGAGTCCTGCAAGAGCTGGGAGTAAGATCCCCAATCTTCACACACCCCAGCCTCATAGATTACACCAAATGATGGTAAACAATTTAGATCAGCTTTGGTATGACACAAAGCTTCCTCTTGGCTGTTTCTACAACTTCACATTGAATGGAAGGAAATCACTTAAGCCCTAAAAACACTGTCTGGCAGGAGGTAAAATGCCTTGCTTGGCTTCCTGCCCCATCCCGCCCATACCCACAGCTGGGACCATTTGGCCCCCACTTCAGCTCTCAGGCCTGAGACCCTCCCTATCCTCCATCTGTCTGAGTTCAGGGACAAGCTGCAAACTGAGCCCTTCTTGAATGTGAACATGGTCTGGTTTCCCAGGAGACATAGGTGTAAAATCAACAATCTCAACACGAGTCCATTTCCAGTCATTTGGAGAGGAGAAGTGTGCTTTGGGGATCTTCATTTTTAGATTCCAGTGAATTGGGTGTTATCAGATATACAGAGCCAACAAGATATGAAATGTGCACATAGGACTTCCCTGCAAGAGTAGTAAATGAGGTCGGGTGTGGTGGCTCACGCCTGTACTCCTAACACTTTGGGAGGCCGAGGCAGGCAGATCATGAAGTCAAGAGATGGAGACCAACCTGGCCAACATGGTGAAACCTCATCTCTACTAAAAATACAAAAATTAGCTGGATGTGGTGGTGCACATCTGTAGTCTGAGCTACTCGGGAGGCTGGGGCAGGAGAATCGCTTTAACCCAGGAGACAGAGGTTGCAGTGAGCCAAGATCGTGCCACTGCACTCCAGCCTGACAACAGAGTGAGACTCCATCTCAAAAAAAAAAAAAAAAAAAAAAATAGTAAAGGAATCTGTTGCCTTATGCATATGTATCTTGGACTGATAAATTGGATCACAACAAGCCTTTATCCTTCAGGTTATATACATAATTGAGCAGGCCAGGTTTGTTTCATAATGGCATCTTCATTTTTATTTTTTTCAATGTACACACTTTATTTGTATATTAAACATGTAGAAATATGTTCTTCCTTATCTTTCTTTAAACATGGTCTTCTCCCTGTGTATCTTCTGTTTACCTTTTTTTTTTTTTTTTTTTAGATGGAGTTTCACTCTTGTTACCCAGGCTGGAGTGCAATGGCGCGATCTCGGCTCACCGCAACCTCCGCCTCCTGGGTTCAGGCAATTCTCCTGCCTCAGCCTCCTGAGTAGCTGGGATTACAGGCACGCGCCACCATGCCCAGCTAATGTTTTGTGTTTTTAGTAGAGACGGGGTTTCACCATGTTGACCAGGATGGTCTCGATCTCTTGACCTCGTGATCCACCCGCCTTGGCTTCCCAAAGTGCTGGGATTACAGGCTTGAGCCACCGTGCCCGGCTCTGTTTACCCATTTTTAACAGGAACATGGGCATTCAATCTATTTCATGTTTTCTTATGCAAAGGCAGAGTGCAACTGTGATAAGGAGCAATTAATTCTTAGCTTTGGTTTTGGGGACAAAAGGGAGTGGTGGGAACGATTGCAAACTGGAGTGCACTTCCTTAGCTGAAGGCGGCAGCCCCTATTCAATGCTGATCAGTTGTTGGCATAGAGAATGCAGGCCCTGTGTTGCCAGGTTTTCCAACATTTCAAAAAGAAGCCAGAAGTCTAAATTTTAATGTGCAATTTTCTAACTATCAAATATTGCTAACTAATTTAATTTGGAGATTGACACCCAGAAGTCCAGATAAAACATATCTATGGGCAAAATTGAAGGCTGGGTGCAGTGGCTCATGCCTGTAATCCCAGCACTTTAGGAGACTGAGGTGGGTGGATCAACTTGAGGTCAGGAGTTTGAGACCATCTTGGCTAACATGGTGAAATCCCATCTCTACTAAAAATTCAAAAATTAGCCAGGCCTGGTGGTGGGCACCGGTAGTCCCAGCTACTCAGGAGGCTGAGGCAGGAGGATCATTTGAACCCAGGAGACAGAGGTTGCAGTAAGCCAACATCATACCATTGTATTCCAGCCTGGGCGACAAGAGCAAAACTCCATTTTAAACAAAACAAAAACAGAAACAAAACTGAGGCCATGGCTGCTGGTTCACAATCTCTGGTTTTAAAGCTATCAAACAGAACCCTAGATCTACCATGTAGCCATAATTGATGTGGTTTTTCTAAGCAGTATAGAAATATAGTAGTAAGAAAGTCAATTATATTCTTAATGTGGTACTTTACAAGCAATAGAGAAATATACAATTAAGAAAGCAAGTTCCCTGTGGTTAGTCAATCATAATAAAATAAGGTTAGGCCCATCGCAGAGTGGCTGCAAGTGAGAGAGAATTTACATTCACAGGGAATGTGAACAGATTAGGAAAGAGACTTCAAGTGGACAATTTTGTTGGGATGTACTTCGCCTTATGTGTTAGCTCCACATGGGGCCAGCCTGGCTCTTGAGCTGCTTTCGCTACTGGATCCTCAATCCCTTAAGAGCTTCATCTACGGTTCTTCCTCTCTCCTGCCAGTTGTCCCCCTCCCCAGGCTGCAGCCCGATGAGAAGAATATCCACAACCTCTAATAATAGAAGCCAAAATCCAATGGACAGAGAACACTGTGGTATACCAGTAAGTGGTCCCATCAAGGGCTCACAGCCACCATTCAAATCAAGGAAGTTGTGTTTATTATACAGGTGGCGAAATAAAAAATCAGACCAAGGGCAAGATTTGCCCAACTTCACCCTGCAGCCAGGGCCAGAATTGGACTGGAACCCAGATGCCTGATCTCCAGGCCAGCCATCCCTCCTCTGAGCCCTCACCTCCCAGGCTAGCAGGAACCCTTTCACATCACAGTGCTCTGTGTCTCCATTGCGATTTTGCTCTAGAGGGTAGAGAGCGAGTCTAATCCTCTTGCTTACTGGCAGGCAGCATAGCTGAGTGGTGAGGGGCATGGGTGCTGTATCTGCCATGTGTTAGCCTTGGACATGTTTTTAACCTCGGCTTTCTTATCTGTGAAACGGGGATCATGTGAGTGTTAAATGAGACAACACCGCTAAAGCATTTAGCACAGGGCTTGGGACATAATCCACACCGAGTAAGCATTAGTCGCTATCTCCATTCTGATGCCATCTCCACTGCAAGGCTAACTCACTTGGCAAGAGGTAACCCATCCTCTAGAGAGTAGAACTGAAAGAAACTCAGGAACTGACCACAGAGCCACAGCCCACTGTGGCTACTTTGTGCATCAGGAAGAGAGGCTCCTAGCTGTTGCCTGGCTTCAGAGCTGTCCAGGTCTCAGCCACCTTCAGCGGTGCCTCTTCTTACTGAAAGATCTCAGGCTATGTGCCTGGTGGTAATCCTAATAATAAAAAGCGACCATTTGAGGGTTTATCCAGTGCCCTGCAATAAGCTCTGTACAAATGAGTTAGTCTGCCCTGCACCCCCTCACTCCCACTCAGGGCTTTTGGAGACTGAGCCTGGTTCCTGACCCCCACATCTCATCGCAGGGCCTGACGTGGTGTCTCATCCAATACCGTGCTCCTTCATTCATCCAGCGTTTGTTGGCATCTCCTACTACCTGACCTATTTTAGGAAGGGGACAAACCAAAGATAAGCTCTTGCCCCCCTGAAGCTTACATTCTGAGGAAGGGGGCAGGCAAGGTATAGAGAGGAAAGCCCGGGAATCCAGTACATTAAAAAAACTTTTATTAGGACTACCTCTGCTACACTGAGTTGTATGTATCACTTATGGCCCCCAGGCAGGTCCACTCCTGGGCATTCAAGTCGGTCCATGTGCCAGGCGTGCGGGGTGGGCACAACAGCTCGGAGCTCAGTGCAGCTTGGGACTTTGGGGCATTCGCTCCACCTCTCCGAGCCTTAGTCTCCTTGTCCATCATATAAGGAACTCACTGATTCCAGCTTCTCTGGGCTGTGGAGAGGATTCCCTCGGCGGCTGGGAAAGGAGAGTGCTTTCTCTGCGGATCAGCCCCGACAGGACAGCCTCAAGGGCCGGCGGGCGCGGGGCTATCCTCGAAGATTACTTAAGGCAGCCACGGGTGGAGGTCGCAGCGGGAAGCGCATTTCTGTGGAGGGGGAGAGGGGCGTGGGGTGACCGCCGGGGCGGCCGGGATTCCCAGGGTGTGAGTGCGCCGCCGCTGCCCGAGGTGGGGCGCAGCGCGCGGGGGAGCGCAGGGCGCGGCGGAGTCGGGTTTCAGAGCGCGAGTGACTCAGGGCGAGTGCCGAGAGCCGGGATTCTGCCCGCTGCCGCGGCCGCTGCCGAGCGCCGCCTTTGTTCGCTGCAGGAAGGGCGAGCGCGGCGCCCAGCGCTCAGCGCCCCTTAGTCCTCCGCGGAGCTTCAACGCTTTGCTCCGCTGGCCGCGCGCCTTCCGGGGCTCCGTAGACCCGCGAGATGGTACCACCAAGGTAAGACCGGTTTTTCTGCTTCCTCGCGCCCAGCCCCCTCCGATCCTTCTCCCGCCTGACCTCTCCCTCGCCCACTTCTTGCAGGAGGAACGGGCAGTGCTGGTGTCTGCTGGTGCTGCTCTCGGTCTCCGCGCCCCTGCCTGCTGTCACCCAGACCCGAGCTGCGACAGGTAAGCGACCCGGCCTGAGGGTGGCACCGGCAGCCTCTGCGCCCCGGGGGAAGTTGGTTTTGGCGGCAGACGCGGCTACGGTGCGCGCCTCATTCCTGGACATAAAAGGGAGTCCTCGCCACTCCGTGCGCACTGGCGGTGCCGCGGGCGGCTTCCTCCTGGCAGTGCAGGGGTTATAGCTGTGAATACGGTCCCTGGGCAGCCGCGGCGAGTGGAGCGCTGTCTGGGCACCCGAGATGTCTGAGCTAGGCGCGGAGCCTCCAGTCTTAGGCAGACAGGGACTTTGGAAACACAGCGCCAACGCCAACAGCCTCAGCGCACTCAAAGCCAGCACTTAGGTTGTGGGTGCTGGCTGGCTTTTGGTAAGGGCAGGTCTGGTGTCTCCCCGCACACAGGTGCGAAGCTTAACACCAGCAGGGACATCTGCGCAAGAAATAACAGAACTGAATTGCTCGGATACTTAGCTGAGTTACCTAAGCAGTCACGTCTATCATGGGCAGTGGCTCCACCGGTGACAGAAAGAGCTGTGGTCTGGGAACCAGGGATCTGATTCCTTCCGTTCCTCGGGCCTCAGTTTCTCCAGCAGAACTCAGGCGGTTGGCTGAATAGTGAGATCTAAGTTAAAATAGATCTAAGTTAAAACGGTTAAGGTCAGATTGTTTGGGTTTGAATTGTGGCTGGCTGGGTGATCTTGGACAAAGGATTTCACCACTCTGTGCCTCAGTTTCCCCATCTGAAAAAGGCGAATAATTAGACCATTTTACCTTCCTAGAAATGCTGTGAAGATTAGAGAGAGATTAGAAATAATGTGGTTTCCAAGGTTCCAGCACATGCTAGGCACAAAATAAGTGATAGAAAATACTGCTCGATTCTTGCCGAAACTATGTGTTGGAAAGCAATGCAGGTATTTTCATTTTTATTTTAGATTCAGGGGGTCATGTGTAGTTTTTTACAAGGGTATATTGCGTGGTGCCGAGGTTTGGGCTTCTATTAATCTCATCGCAGTGCAGGTATTTTTAGAACACTGAGGTTGGGAGAAGCTTAGAAAGTAGCCAGTCCGAAGGCCAGGACTTGAATCCAGGTCTGTAGGCTCTTGCCCTTGCTCAGCTCTTTCTCCATGCAGTTTTGCAGAAGAGCCGTGCTTTCTGTAGCTTCTGACCCCTTCCCTTTTGAATTTGGGGGATTAGTATACAACTTCAATTGAATAAGGGAGCAGAAAGTCTAGGAAACAACCTCTGGCAGGCCCGAAGGAAATGAGATTGAGAAGGGCGCCTTGGTTAACTCTTTGTTTGCCTGAAGAAGCCCGAGACGGCCCATTCTCTCCTTGGCAACAAGACCCAAATGCGATGATAGCTTTTCCTGCCAGAGTGTCCAGCCTGGCATTTATTGCAGATCAAAGGGCAGCTGGAGTATAGTTTTAGCTTCTCAGTCCCATGGATCATGTCAGAACATTGCAATTTTGCATGTGATATAGGACCCTGCCAACTCAGTGGCAGAGGGCAGCTTTGGATTCCATGGTGCTTTGTGAACTTTGCTGCAACTTTCAGTTCCCAAAAGGAAGAGGGATCTGGGGATAGACACTTTGGTGTTTCTTTCTCCTCCTGTGTGTGTCGCTGGGATCCCTCAGTGTCAGGGCTGCTGTTTCTAACACAAAGGATGTCCTATTCCCATTCATAATGTAAAAAGGGAGAGCCAGCAAACCTTCAGGAGCTGAGAAGGATCTAGGGAGGGCCATTTGCAACTGATAAGTGGTTAGTGCTTCTTTGGGATATGAAACGATTCCTAAAAATGTCAACTATCCTCCTGCAAACTGAATTTTTAATACAATTCAATATGGCTGATAGTTGTAAAGCACTTTGTATATCCAAGTGGAGGTGTGAACATGTTCATATTTCATTCATCCAATCCTTACAACCACTCCAGGAGGTGAGGACTGAGAACAGTTACTATCTTTGTTTTTCAAGTGAAGAAACAGAAGTCCAAAGTCACAGGACTTCTAAGTGGCTGGGGTGAGATTTGAACCAGACAGTCTGATCCAGAGTCCTTGCTCTTAATCATCCTAGTGTGCAGTTAGAAGAGCTACGCAGATGGAAAAGCCTTTAGGGGCTCATGGTTTCCAATGCGCCCCACAATCTGTCACAATTGTAACATGGGTCCGTTGCATCTGCATGGCATTGTACAATCTTCAAAGCACAATGTCACTGTCACCAAGTCACTGGAATCACCACCCCGCAGTGCTGGGAAGTAAGTTGGGCTCTATCTTAGAGAGGGGATTTGAATTCCTCAATGCCACATGACTGTAACTGGGTAGATCCATCATAGCCCTCCCACATCTGTGAACGTCAAAGTGGGCGCTCTTCCTCCCATGGGGCCTCTGCGCAACTGGCTGTAAAAAAAACAATTGCCAAGACTTTATAGCACTATGAACCAGCAGTGTTCTAAGTGCTCTGTGTGAATGAACTCACTCAATTATCACAACAACCCCATGTCTTATCCCCTTTTACAGATGAGGAAACTGAGGCACAGTCATTTGCCCAAGGGCATGTAGCCTTCAGTAATATAAGCACAATTTGAGCCCAGAGGGTCTGACTTGAGAATCTGTACTCTAAACCACTACACTGTATGCTTAAGTAGGGTGGCTTCTGAAAGCACGTTTGTAAGTGGGCTATTCTGAGCAGAAATGCATGTTCCCAACAATTTGGCAGTTTCTTAAAGTGTTAAATATATGCTTACTCTACAATCCAGCATTTCCACTCCTAAGTATTTACTTAAGGGAAAGAAAAGCATACTTCCATCCAGAAACTTGTATGTGGATGTTCATAGCAGCATTATTCATAATGGCCAAAATTAGAAATAAACTGGTCCATTAGCTGGTGAATAGATAAACAAAAGGAGGTGTATCCGTTCAATGGGATACTACTCAGCAGTAGAAAGGAATGAAGTACTGCTCAATGCTACAACAAGATGAAAACGATGAAGCTAAGTGACAGAAGCCAGCCATTAAAAACCAATACATTGTAAGAGTCCATATATATAAGATTTCTGTAAAGGCAAAACTACAGAGACAGAAAATGAGCAAAGGGGCATGAGGAAACTTTTTGGGGAATGTCCTAAAACTGGATCGTGGTGGTAATTATACAACTCTAAATTTACTAAAATCATCTAACTATACATTTAAAATGGGTGGATTTTATGGAATGTAAGCTATGCCTCAACAAAGCTGCTTATTAAATAAAAGAACGCATTTTTCCAGAGTGTCCAGGCCCCAGATCTGGTGGGGCTTCAAAGTGGGGCTCCTGGCCAGCCTGGTACAGAGCTGGCACACAACTCATGACCTAAAAGTGCTGGCCTCATAGTGCATTGATTCTCTCAGAAAACAGGTCCTAAGTTCCGCCTGCACCTCCAGGCCTCTGGATGGACTCTGCCTACCATCCTGAATGCCACTGTGGGCCAGGACAGGGCTCCTCAGGTAGGGGTAGAACACGGTCATATGGTTTTTTGCAGAGAATTGATCTGTTAAAAGTGGGTCTCTGTAAATTTCCTGATATCCCTCATGCCCTAAAACAGCACAATTTCAGGTATTGGGAAACCTGGGTTCCAATCACTTACTTCCTCTGTGAATGTAGATGAATTGCTTTTCCCACTTTGAGCCTCAGTTTTCCCATCTATGAAGTGGAGAGGCAAGATTCACTCATCTCTGTAGTCCTAATTTAAAATGTTGGGAAACAAAACAAAATAAACCTTTTCTAGTTTGAGGTTTAATTATTTCACATAGTTTAGTTCAACAAACCCATTCTTTGCTGGCCCTCATGCTGGCTGAATACAGAAAGGATTTGGGCACAGAACTGTCCCAAGGGGCTCATGACAGGCACAAACACAGGGCCACAGACAATTGTAATGCCATTTTCCCCCAGCTATTCTCATCTACCATCCAGCATGTCCTGTGTGCAGCCAACCCCATTCTCCTATACCATCCTGTTTAAAGAGACAGTTGTCAGTCAGTGTCACTAATATGGCCTCTTGTGCCTCCAGTAGTAAGGGTTGAGAAGGAGGACAGCATTAATCCTTCCTTTTCCTGGTAAAGTGTCAGTGTTGAATACCCAATATTTTAGAAGTAAGGGGGCTATTGTCCAGGTAGGGATGGTGGTGTCCTAAGTAATTTGCTCTTGCTAATAAAGTGTTGATGGTTGCAAATTATTTGCTTTACTTTCAACTGTTTTTATTGTAAAATAGAACATCCATTCAGAAAAGTGCATGCTAACGGTACAGTACAATGATTTATCACAGAGGAACATTTATGTAATCCAGGTGAAGATATGCGATAATCCCCAGAAGCTCTCCTGACCCCCTTTGCTGTGGCTTTATTTTCCCTTCTTTCTCTCTGAAGTAACCATTACCTTGACATTAATAGTCATCACTTTCTTGCTTTTTAAAAATAGCTTTGCTATCTAAGTGTGTATCCTGAAATTCTGAAGTTTTGTTTTACTTGATTTTGAACTTTTTACATGTAGGATCTATTCTTTGGTGTCTGATTCTTTCAATGAATAATACGTTTTTGAGATTTATTCATGCTGCTGTATATGGCTGTAGTCCATTGCCATTGCTGTATAATGTTCCATTGCGTTAACATACCGTGTATTACTTATCCATTCTTCTCCAGCATTTGGGTTGTTTCCATTCTTGGCTAATGTAATAGTGTGGCTCTGAACATTCTTGTACATTTCTCTCAGTGCACATGAGCATGAATTTCTGTTGGTTCTATACCTAGGAGTGGAGTGCTGAATCATAGAGTGTGCATAGCCCCCAACTGAGTAGACAATGCCAGCATGTCTTCTAAATGGCTGTACACGTATACACAGCTACCAAGAAATGAGGGTCTCCATTTCTTCACATTCCCACCAGATTTGGTCTTGTCACTGAGCTTAACTATTTTTACATCCCCACCAGCACTGTATGAGGGCTTTCATTTTGCAGATCATCGCCAATGCTTGTTTTCAGTT